TTTTTTATCCGGTAATTTTATTATTTATAAATATATTTTTATATTAACTGACCAATTAAATTAAACAAATATGGAAGGTAGGTTGCTAGATTACAAAACATTTTTGTTGCTTGTTTAATTTGATATCGTGATTTTTTTTATTTGAAGTAACCGAGTACGAACATTCCAGTTATTATTAATTGCATAATTTGAGATTACATGGTGTAGTTTCGTTCATTATTTCAGCATTATTTTGGGCAAAAGTTTTGTATTGTGCTTAAGCCTAATCATTGTTTACTGTTACTAATTTAATACATTATGCCATATTTGTACATTTCCGAAATATTTTGCAATAATCGATTGTGCATTTTTAACCAGTTTCATAAACGAATTTACTTTTATCCAGAGCCATTAACATAACACATGAAGTTTTCTTGTAGTATGTAGTATTTTATTTAAAGAACCCAAAAAAATAATTGTAATAAAGCCATCTGAGGTCCGGATCAACATTTCTTATGGTAGATTGTTAAATGTCCATTTATGCGAAATGTTTTGTTTGAAAAGCACGAAACTTTAATGTGATAAAGGCGTGTAAAAAAGTTAGTTATATTCCCTTAGAACATAGCATCCTGTTTTGTTCTAACCTATTTATAAAAAAATGTGAGGAGTGCCCTTTCTAACACAGTGTCTCTATAACAAGTTTTGAAAATAAAGGAAACCCCAATTCCACTCGTATGGGATAAGATCTTGAAAGCAATCCATTTTATTAACCTAGCAACTGTCTTATACCGGGTTTACTAAATGCTTACGTAATTTTTTATAATTAATTGTAAATGAAATAAGACTGTTCAGTCGGCACCTGGTTAAAAATTTTTGATAAAACAGCAATTAAACTAGCACAATCAAATGATGTTAGGATCGAATCCAGGGTGGGGCATAAAACAGTTTAGGTATTTATGAAATCAACACTTACAGTATTATGTTATATATTATACAATAAGGGGAAGAAATGGAAAATTTTTGACATGGTTTAAGTTTCACATATTTGATCCATTTGTATTTAAACTAAGCGTTTTATTTTAAATGTTATTTTATGAAATTGTAATTCTACCAAGTTTTCTTAAATATCAGTCGACTTTTTCATCTATTTCTAGCGAAGAAAATGTAAAATCTTCAGTTTTTAATAGTTTTCGTCTGATTAATAACAATCAAATCAAAAAACTAATAAGATAATATTAACATAAAGATTTATAATTGGTTGATTTGACCCTTACTTGTTGAAAATCCATATTAAGTAATTAGGAAAACAATTTAAAGATTTTCACTAAACTTTGCTACAAAATAAAAACCGTAACATGAAAGAACTAGTCCACACGTTCAATAATGAAATTGAAGTTTTACATTTTGAAAATAAAAGCTATAAATTACCACTAAAAACAAAAGTTAGTAATCAATAAGCATAGAAAATTAAATATTGTATTGAATGATTATAGATCACTTTTGCTCGACATATTTTAAATAGCACTCAATATTATGTCAACAATTTCTCCTTTATCTCTCTTTAAGTATTGCTATCTAAGAATTGATAGCTCTTAGAACACCTTTTAATTTTACATAGTAGGAGGTACTCACCATCTTATGAAGCAAAATTTTTGGGAATTATGTTCTGGTATTTTTTGTAACAAAACAAATAAAATGCTTTAGTGAAAATCTAAATTGTTTTCTAA